CCATCAATATTTGGACTGTTTTTAATTGAAGTGTAGATGTGTGCAGCATTGTCATTGCACAATGAGAGTCAGTAACAGGAGGTTTTACTGTTTCACTTTTAGAACAGACCAAAGCACCAGCATCAGCTGCAACAGCGGTAAGATATGATGATTTATATTTATCTTTTTTACAACGAAGGCTCTAAGGTTCCTCAGTATAGAAACAGAACTGCTTTGAGTTTACACCGCAGTATTGGGCAATCATCAGGATGTCACAACTCAGGAAACACAGGAACCAAAATGCAGACAGGACACAAGAGAACATAGAAATAACAAAAAGGTAACTTTAATAATTTACTGTGAAAACTGAAACAGGCAGGGCAACACAAAATAATAATGGCATCTGAGTCAAGGGAAAAAATAAGCAAAGTCCAACTAGTGAACTTAATCAGGTTGGGGAAGATAACCAAACAGACAGGAAGTATAACCAAACAAGACACAAGAGGAGGAGTATTACAAAATAAAAGAGGAAATAAGTATATTAAACCCAAAACCATGATACAGGAGAGACACACAAATTAATACATTATTTGCAGGTGCTGGGTTTTTATAATTTATTTTCATTCTAATGGCCAGCAGAGGGCAGCTTCATTGGTTACAAAAAGAACTGCATTTGTACTCAACCTCATGGACTTGATTTATAAGCTGATAAACGTAAAAAGCGTGATGTTGGTTTAGTAAATGATGGTCCCATTCAGAGTAAAATAGACATTAAAGCAGGGAATGCTTTGGGGCGGGTTTTCCTGGTGATTGACTGGTCATTCTTACAAGTCATGCTGGTTGCAAAGCATGTTGCAATGTTACATGATTTATTGTTGGCTAAAATCAATACAGTTTGTCGTGGTATATTAGTTAGCATCACGGATCACTTTAGCTGTCGAAGTCATTTGGCAAACCAGCCAGTTAACATATCCACTCAGATAATATTGTGCTAGTGATAACGATAGCGAGCAAGCAAGTTAAGGTTATCCAGCCAGATGCAACCCAGCCAGGCTAAATAGATTTGGGCAATCTCCCAGATCAGCCTGGGCCCAGGAGTCTGGATGAATTAGCTGACGTTATCCACTCAACAGACAGTATTTGGCTAAGTCAGTACCCGATCTGTACATCGTGCCCAATCAGTACTGCGTAAAAGCATGATCATCAGCTGGTAAGATATGATGATATTCTTCTACTTCAGTAGGGGTGCTCGGATAGCTCACCTGATAGAACTGGTTCCCCATGTACCCAGGCTGAGTCCTTGCTGTAGCGGCCTAGGGTTTGAATCCGACCTGTGGCCCTTTGTAGCATGTCATCCCCCCTCTCTCTCCCCCCTTCCTGTCACACTGCAGCTCTAACTATAGATTAAAGGCAATAAAAGTCCCTCAAAATATTTAATATACTTTGGTACGTGAAACAGAGATCAGAAAAACAAAGATTGCTCACTTGTCAGTTACTTTTATCATCAGCCTGGGAAAAAGCAATGCGTTTATGTATGATATTGTTCCCCATGCAGAAATAGTATTTTTGGCATCACTTAAATCCTTCGGTTGGCCATTGAGCCCTGACTGGTGTGCAGACCAGCAGTAGAACTGATCAGGCCTAATGTACGGATCCGGTAGTGACAGCTACGTTAACTAGCTAGCAATTCATCCGTGTAAGCAAGCACGCTAATGTTATCTAACTAATGCCAGCTAAAACCACAATACCACCTAACACACTTTGCAGTAATGTTAGCTTTGACTTTGGACTATGTGCTGTGTGCCAGTCATTTGTTAGCAGACTCAGTATCTAGAGAGAGAGAAGACGATGAGAAAGAATGCAGTAGAGAGCGTGCACAAACGTCACAAACTTTGGATTTTTACGGAAAAAAATAATCCTTTACATAGTAATCACTCGACAGGCTGTTATGGGCAACTGTCTTAAAGCCACTGTGTATCTGAGGGAATACTGGCCATGTTTCTTTTTGTAAAAGACTAAAATGAAGAAACTGAGAATTATATTTGAAGGTTGCTGAAAGATAATGGAAAAGAAAGAAGACAGCATATATATAAACATACTGTAAGGATGTGAAGAGACAATAATTAAACTTAGTTGCTGATGATCCCTAAACTAAATCAATATATTTTTTTCTGATATAATATTTCATCAACTAAAATGCTTCAGAAACTAGTGTAAGAGAAGACCCTGACTGCTGTAGAGGAGCTGCTGAGCGGCCAACAGAGTGTGGTTGCACTGGACAGCTTCTGGCATGACAGTGTCAAGTGTGAACAGCGTAAAGTAAAGGTTACAGAAACATCGTCATAGCCATGTAAAGTAAAGGGAGCATAGGGTATTTATTTGTCTTTTTTTAAACTACACGGAAAGAAAAATTCAACAGTTCCAGTTTTAGAGTGTACCTGTTCCTATTCAGCTGCAGGGCTGTGCTGTACCACTGCAGATGGACATCTAATAATCCCAATAAGTAATATCATTCTTGTGTATTTTCACTGTGAGAATATTGTGACCATGAACAGACAGAAACTTAACTGTGAATGTCTGTGATCATAAATATGTTGTTTGGTTTAGTGAATTATCCAACTGTAATTCTACTGCTCATGATTGTATTGTTTCAAAAATCAATTATGTTTATGTATGTTGACTTTCAATAAAAATACAAGGTGATGAAATGAATGTCTTTCATTCTGAAACTATTATTTTGTATCTCTTCTCACATGTGGCTTGCTCCTTGGTCACAGGCTGAAGAGGAAGTAACATACAGTGCTGTGAAGCATAAGAGAAAAACTCTTGTCAAGGTAACCACAGTGATATCAAGTTTTAAAATATATCATATTTGAATATGCTGTTCTATCCCTCTGCAGAACAGTGTGTATTATTTCTGTAATATTACACCCTCATATGCAGTATCATCTNNTGTGATCAAAAAGTTACAGCTTTCAGGTCACAGTTTTAATCTTTGTTCTTGCTTTTTCATTTTGCTTCTGTTCTCCAACAGGTTGAAGCAGCAGATGAGGATGTTACATACAGCACACTGGCTCTGCAGTAAATGGATGTCAGTGTTATGACTCTCTGTGATATATTGTTTTATATTTTCTATCGCTGTTTCTGTTTTTTAACACACTCTCAATCTGCTGTCTGCGAAAATCTTCTTTCTTTAAATAAGAAATAAAATGCTGTGTAGGTGTTTTCTCATCATTGATCAATGAGTTATATTGATAAATGAGGTATCAGTGAAACATTCTGGTAATAATCACTGACACACCACTGTCTATCTGTGCCTCATTTTCTGATTCTGAGACATGAAGGTGAAGCATTAGAGCTCAGAAGGAATCAGGACATCTTGTCACTCTAAAATCTTTATCAGCACAATGACGCAGAAGAGACTGACTTCTCTCTCATACGTGTGAACATATTTATTTTGTACATATATGACCTTATAATGATTCATCACCATAAACCTCTCACATCCTTCTCTTTTGGAGTATGTGATAACAGACAGTGTGACTGGCTGTTTATTCAAAGCTGCAGCCACATACTTTTTATTATAATGTGTTAAACTGTGACTGAAGGTGACACTAAAATGTGTTTGGAAATCAAGAATCTGATGTACTTATTATGTTCTAAGTCCACTTTTACTATGTGTTTGCTTTTCGTGTTGCCTCTGAGTAATACTTGAGTATACCTGAAGTGTAAGTAGTATGAAAGTGAACTTTATAACCCTTTAAGAGAAAAACGCCTTGTTACGACTGTGCCAGAACTCCAGTGTCTCCTTGTGTTTTCCCGTCTGCCTTTTCATGTGTGTTTGTTGTTGTCTGGGAGTCTCATGGTGTGGGTGAAGCTATCTCTCCCTTACTCTCCTAGTTCAGCTGAAACTGCACGCCTGGTCTCTATTGTCTCATCTGCCTCTCGTCATGCCCTCAACCTGCAGCTCTTCTACCACTCATCACCAGACTGTTCTCTCACCCTCAGTGGCTACGCTTTGGCCACATTGGCTCGTTTGTTAATTTGAGATAATGATTCCTCACATTTGCCTTTGCTGGACCTGCTATCCTCGTGACCCGACCCCGGATAAGCGGATAAAGATGATGATGATGACATTTGCATTTGCGACTAATCTTTGTATCCTGTGCTTCAGGATCACCGCCCGCCTCCCTGCCTCAGGTTTTTCTTCTGCCCTGCCTTGGATTCCCAGCCCAGCCATCTCCCCCCTCCCTCTACTATGAAGACCCTACCTTTTACTGCCCTGTTTGAGTCCTTATCATAACAGTACCTTAACACACCTTTGTTGCTCTGGCTGATTTTTTTGTTGCCTAATTGCACTCGCCCAAATAAAGACATTTTAGAAAAATTTGTCAAATCTGCATTAATCTCTTAATGTCAATGAAATTATTTTTTCTTGTAATTGAGGTGCAATTTGTCATGCACACTTGGAGTGTGCTAAAAAGTAGTTTGTTTGTGCATGTGAAGTATAATAGTGATGTATTATAAGTATACTACTATCGAGCTTAATACAGTAATTGCAGTATAACAGTATTGTACTGTAGCATAAGCAACGATAAAATACACTTTTACCCAACATTATAGTATAATAACAATTTTACATTCCTTTAACATATCTTAACTGTGATAGAACTTGACTATAAAGTGTAAAAAATGATGCTGTTGTGTTTCCTCATGGGAATTGTAGTTTAGAGTTTTACCCATTTTGAGGACTAAAAGCCCAGATATCAGCCTCTGCTGCATTGATTTTAACCATTCTTTAAAAAAAAAAAAAAGAATCTCTTGTGAGTCCCCCAACTTTATGAAAATGACATAATAAATCACTGGTACTCCTTTAATGTGTCTGAATAAGGGCTGGGTCATGTAAATGACCCAACACACAACCATTAACAACACCATTCCTTTGAACAAATAAATAATTCACTCATAATCAAAAAATCACATTTTGCTTTTACTGTAAGAAACAGCACTGAATAAACATTACACAATCAGGTTTAATGCAGCAGGTTGAGAGATACAGGTTGGTACCACAAGTCACTATTGGCCAGTTCACAGTGTGCTCTGAGTGTAAACAGCTATTCATAGACTTAAGTCAGAGTTGAGATGATCATTTTATCAAAAGGTGGATTTAAATTAAAATAATTATTTCTCCTCTCCTTCATACATTGTTTTATGTATTATGTGCTTTATGAGTGTTTGACATTTCTCTTGTCCTGTTTCTGTTCAAGTTAGTTCATTAAGATAAATTTCAATAAATTACGGAATTCCACGTGATTCCACGGAAATTGTGGAATCAAGATCTGAATCTTGAATCCACAGTTACAGTTGAAAGATATTAAGGATAAAACATTCTGGAATATATGGAATTAATTTACTAAACATCATATGTATGTACATGTAATATTTGGTCCCACATATATGTATGTGTATTTGGAGTTTGGTGTTCAGCGTAGACTTTTAACATCCTGTGAAGGCAACCTGAGGTTTGGGACCATCAAGGGGTCACTACATAAAGGGGTCAGAAAAAATACTGGTTTTTTTACATTTTACATTTTTGTAAGATTTCTGGCCTTTGAGAATATTCTAATAAAATAAAATGAAACAAACTATGGCTCTTTGGTTGACCCAGATCAGCCCGTAGACTAATACACACTGAATAATTAGGGTTTGTAACTACACATCGCTTTGTTTTAAGGGGTCATACAGGAAATATTGGGAAATATTAAATAATGTTTTCCACCTTTCCAAGAATACAATCTCTACAACAATACTGAACATTTGGATTGGCTACAAAATCTTTGGTCTATAAAGTGCAAGTGTAACAACATCAGCCTTCATAAACCTGTGTCAGTCTAACTAACCAGATCTGCAGTCATCAGTAGGCAAACAGTGAATTAATGGCACTTGTACATGTCCAGGGTGACCGAATCAAACACACAAACAAATTATATCGACACTTAGACATCTACTCTCCTCGATATATAACAACGTTCTTATCCGTCTCGTAAATCTTAATCTCGTAGAGCAGGTTGGGAGGGAGCGCCTTCACCATGTTGTCCCAGATGTAAACAGCCAGGTTCTCAGTTGTGCTGAGAAAACAAAGGAGTGATCGGTGTAAACAAATGTGCACACAATCTGTAGACACTGTAGTGGAAGCAGCTCAGAAGAACACTCACCTGGCAACACTGGCAAAGTATGGCACGTCCTTGTCCAGGTTTCTATGGTCCAGTGGAGTCATGATCACCTCCTGCAGGTGGGAGTCAGACAGTCATGTATTCAGTCAAGTATATAAGGAATCTGACATGTTGCAAAAAAGTTGCACAAATGCAGCCCTCGCACACATTTAAAAACTGAAAATAGTTAGGTGAAATGTGTTATATGACAGCGGCCTGCACAGTGTCCAAACAGGCATTGTTCACACTGATCTCCTGGAGGATGTAGGAAATAATCCTGCTTGCACTGGTCCACAGGGAGGGAAGTTTTTACTCTGCCCATTTAAAATGAACATGTTTTAGTTTCCATGTTTTTTACTGCAGCTGACAGCTGTATCCTGCAAAAAAAAAAAACATTCTGACAAACCAAATACCTGCCCAGCAGCAAACCACAGATGGACAAAGTTAGCAACTAGCTGGTAAAGAGCCAAAGACTTTTCTCAGGAGTAGGCAGAAACTAAATCAAAGCTGAAAGAAGAATGAATATCGCACTTATAATTGAATGAATGTCAATGTTTCTCTGTATCTGCTATATGTGTAAGAAGAGGAAGTGCTTTAATAATAACTGTTTGCTAATGTGGTATACGTGCCATATCAACTTTATGAGGTGATGATACTTTATGTCAAATGTGTGATGCTCAGCCCTAAAATAAGTAAATGAATGCAGCTTTAAGGAGGCGAGTGCAGCTTTAATTTTACAGGTGCAATGTGTGAACCTACAGAAACCAACACTGGCTATACAGTAAAAACCATTCTAGAAAAGCTAATACCTGTGAATACAATACTTTTTTTCAAATGTAACGAAGTGTCTCAGTGTAACAGCACTGCTTCAGATAGCAACGAGGCTGATAGGGAAGTTAAAAGCACTGTAATGCAGTCATATGTAGTGGTACATGTTGTTTCCCCTCAAATAATCACACTACACGTACCACTTACCACTCATTTGTGGTTTAAGAAGTCAGCAGGATAAAATGACAGAAGCAGGAAGAGCGCCCTCACATGGACTCATGGCAACATACACGCCTGCAGCCCTTTACTTAATGGGGAATGTACATAAAGAGCATGTTCACCAAGGCTACAGCTTGCAGTGTGCCAGTGTGTTCACGCACATGCCAAAAATATTAAATCTGCCATTAGTATTAGAAGCTATTAAATGGCTGATTGCAATGTGTAGCTTGGAACAGGACAGCATGAACAGTGAGTTAGTCCTCAGAGACCAGAACAACCTCTAGTGACACACCCTGCACAGTAGATGTATCCATGCAGTGATCTCGAGCAGTTGCAGAATAATTAGTCCATATATTTCCAGACCCAACATTAACTCACTGCTGTTTTCTACTTCATATTGTAAATGTCATCACTTCCTGTGGTCAGAGAGATGTTAATAGCACCTATCAGAGGTCATATGGTACAGAAAATACTGGCATGGATTAAATGAGTTTTCCTACTAATAATTATTCTCCTCAGAATTTAATACAATTTATGTATGAAAAGACTAATAATCTATGAAGAGAAATATTAAGTCATTTGTTAACTTTCCACTTACATATGGTTTTAATAACATATGAGCCCCAGGCAGTGATGGAAGAAGTACTCAGATGTTTCAAGTAAAAGTATTAATACCACAGTGTAGAAATACTCTGTTATAAGTATAACTTGTCATTCAAAATGCTTTTTAGGTAAAAGTACAAAAGCATTGGCACCAAAATACACTTGAAGTACTCATTAATTTATATTAAATTTATATAATGCATCAAACAATGATGCATCAAACAATGATGCATTATGGGTAAGTAAAGTACCTCAAAACTGTACTTGAGTAAATCTCACAGAAGGAAATCTCGCTGAAGAGTAGAATGTAACGATGAACTCACCTCAATGGCCTTCTTCAAGTCAGTCAGGTTCATGACCATGCCGGTGTGCCGATCGATCTGTGGACGCACACAGGATGAAGGTAAAACACAACAGTTACTTATCTACGAGTACTGAGTCAAAGTAAACAGGACTTGCTGTTTTAGTCTCTGTGTTTCACCATCCGTCCAGCAGGTTTTATCAGATTCGATGAGTGGAACCCTTGCACTACACAGAGGCTAGGGGGTGCTGTAGCCCCTGACGGGTATTTTAGTATTTTTTAAATTATGAAAGAAAGAATTATGTTAAAACCAGCCTATCCAATCGTATAAATGCCTCTTGTTGTGTTGTGTTGTTATGGGTGCTGTCCATTACTGAATCACCTTTGCACATGACACATGTTTGTCATTGCCTTACGGTCACTTGTATTAGGCCTATAGCTACTTTGTTGAATATTCTTTGGCCAAATTAAATTAAAAACTACATTTATACTTAATGTGCAGTGTTCCATATCTGCTTTTATTAAATAAAATGAGACGTTCCTTATAATGTAACTCTAAGGCAATTTTCTTTTCTCTTCATTCTGATTCTGTTTCTGTTTCATGTTAGTTAGTAATTCTGTTTTGTTACATTTTTGTCAAATTAAATTCATTCTGATGCGAACCCCTGATAAATGAATTGCATAAACTTCACACTGCCAGAAATAAAATTATGGTGGGGAAACACTGAATCATACAGTACACTGAGTTTATCATTTATTCAACAATTATTTTTTATATCGGACACTGAGCCTAAAAAATATATATGCATCAACCTCTAATCCAAAACTGAAATCATAAAATGAAAACTGCACTTTAGGTCACTCAAATTCAGAGAAAAAAAGAGCTAGCTGGCAATGAAGAAGTGATAAAGACACTCACCTTTCCACGCACTGTCACCTCCACTGTGGACAGAGATGAGAGCATTGAATGAATGGGAGACACTGAAACAGCAGCTGTGCAGTGTGTATTATGTGTAATGATAATGATAAAGAAATAAAGTGAAATACAATACACCGTTATAGATTATTTACTTCAATGAAAATCATATGTTAAATATTTATTTATTTATCCTTTAATACCTGAAAGAAGGCAACATTAAATTCTAAATCAATTAAACTTTCAGTTCAGTTTTCAGCAGGTCTAGACCGTACACCTTTCAACATCACTAATCACCAATCACATGATAGAAAACAAAGTGAAAGGTGTGTGTTGTATTCGGTGTTGTCCATCAGAGAGCAGCACAGACCTGCCAATACTAGAGGCATTCAATGCTTTGAATCTTTGTGAAAAAGATTCTGTCAACTTGTTGCTTAGGGCAACACATATAATAAATAAACAGAACAGAAGCGGTGTAAACATTGATTCTTATTAGGTGACACGTGAATGCAGCACAAATTACTAATGTCCTCATCTGCGGCTGAGCAGTGACAAGAAAAAAATATTTCAGTACAGAAATATCAAACTAGGAGGAGGTCATTTAAAAGAATATATATGTTTATATGTAAATATATATGGTGATAGAAATGACAAACCTTTGTAGTTGTGTCCATGACCATTGGGGTTGTTGCATTTCCCATAAACTCTTTTGTTCTCCTCATCACTCAAGTGAATGCTGCAAGGAAGTAATATTTATCAGAAAGCTGCTGCACAGATGGGCCTTTTCTTTTCAGTCATACTGTGAACCACACAGGTCAAACAAGGAAAAATGTGCTAAGGGATTATTGACACATGCTGCCTTCAGGTACACCTCAGAACCTCAATCTTCTAAGATCAGAAGTTGTAAATTGTAATAATCATGTTACGTATTAAATGATTAGTTGATAAATAAATAAAATGTATTAGCAGAGCAGCTATTTGCTATATGCAGTTGTTTGTTTATATCACTGTGAGCTGAGTATCTTGGGGTTTGAGACAAAACGAGACATTTAAAGATGTCACCTTGAACTCTGGGAACTTCTGATGGGTATTTTTTCCGATTCTTAATATCTTAATTCCATGGGTGAAACATTCAACAGAAAATAATGTCAGATTCATCAATAATTAAACTAACTGTTTATTAATGGCTGTTGTTTTAGTTTACAAACCAGGCAGTATTGGGTGAATTAGTTCTACAGAAGAATGATAAAGTAAAGATTTAAGAACAATATATAATAAGCACAGCAATTTGAAATATATTTATATAGCAATATTATTGGCTTATTTTCCTGTGTGACTTTTGTTTGTCATTTCCTCTGTACACATTGTTGTTACAAACAATAATAAACTTTATTAACAATAACTAGATAGATTATATGCACATAAAAAGTAAATATAATAAAAGGTGTTCATTAATTGCTGTTATTTTGGCTGTAATTAGCAATATAGCCTCATTCACTGGTTAACATTTTCTTATGTAACTTTTTATTTGTCCCACGTTTACCTTTGTCTGTACGGTCGGTAGAATACAGAAAAAAATATTTTTTTACGACAGCACATGAAGGCAGCACTGGCGCTTCTGCAACCAATCATATCTGTGAACTCAAATGAACTACAATTCCCAGGAGACCGATGCTAATGCCACAGATTTTTTCCATGAAAACAGACGGTTATCGCTCACATTTACACCGCTCTATGTGCACCGTAGGGCGGATACAGTGTCTCCTCCATGCCGGGGACCACCGTCCTCCGCTCCAATAGGCCTTATGATAATAAACACAGGCCCACAACACCTCTGTCAGCTTCTATCGGCATAAAGCAGTATCAGCAGGGTGTAGAGGCGGACTGTGGGACAGGAACAAGCGATGATGAACCGGCCTACCTGTGGAGTCGGTGGCAGGCGCTGAAGCTCTGCACCCGGGTGATGTATCCGATACGCTCCGCTGCGCTGCTGCTCTCAGAGGATCCAGCCATGGTCGGTGGGTGGTCGGGTAAGTGGGTCGGTGCATGGGTCGTGGGTGTGGTAGAGTGGTCCGTGCAAGTGGTCGGGTTGGTGGTCGGTAGAGTGAGAGTCGGGATCAGACAGACGGACAAGGAGGAATGATGTGCTGAGAGCAGACAGAGAGAGGGCAAGAAATAGTCTGCCGGAGCTCCAGCCCTCGTGACTCACGCTGCCAGGCCATTGGCTCAGATCGGGGCGTAAATACAACTCACATGTCCCAACAAAACCCGTCTGGCTGAATGGGTTTCACACTGCACACAGTGACATATTCCGTATTAAAAACTGCCGGAGGCTACTTGTTATGTGTGAGTAGACAGTATAGTTTTATAAAAAGAGGTCAGTTACAATGACCCTTAAGAAAGCCTTTTAGTTGATCATAATCTTTATCATAATTACACAAAATGATATGCCATATATATTTTAACATTAAGATGGTAGATTTAGGGGGGGAAAACACAAATATAGTAGAATTCAATGCAGTATAATGTACATGGTACAATAACCGTCAACCATGGCATCTGTGTACTGCTGCAAATGAAAACTGATTCCTATAAACAGCCTGAGCACCAGGTTTCCCACTGCATATTTACACAATCAGACTGGAGTCCACACAAGGAAGACTAAGCAGAAATAAAGAATGGTCCCTTTCAGAGATAAGTTATTGATGCATTCATGTACAGTAGCCTATAAAGGGCATTTTAATGGTGGAGCTGGTACAGTGGTGGTAGAATTATTTGGCAGTTGTGGGGAAAGCATGCAGATCCCTTTCCTCAAGTATAAGTTGAAATGACACTGTAAAAATACACTAGTAAAGGTTCTAAATTAAGCAAAAGAAAATACTATTATATAGCCTGTTATATTCTGGGATTATAAATAATGATGCATGGATGTGTATCTAGCATTAGAGTCTTTTCTTTACTCTTACTCATTTTTAGGCTCTTTTATACATTATTACATCCTGTTTGATCTAGAACAATGCTTTATAAAACCTTAATCTGTGAAGTAATCAGAACTGTCAGATACATGTAGAGTAAAAGGTACAATATTCTATCTGAAAGGTATAAAGCAGCAAGAAAGTTAAAGGTATTCAAAATTGCACAAAAAGCACAGTACTGGAGTAAATGTCACAGCTTTTTTGAGAGACAGTTTGACTTCATAGTGTGAAAACTGTTACTAATGACATTAATGACGGGTTTTTGCACACCTTGAGGGCAGGCAGAGTGTTCGGGTCATATGCTGATCATTTGAAAGTCACCAGAGTCCACAATCTGATGAAACACTGATTCATCTTTTAATTTATGTATTTATTTATTTTTCATGTACTGAAACAGAAAATAGACACTGGGGGTAATTTACCAAGGTTTATAATTAACTATTATAATGATTATTATTTGTTGCTAATCAGCCATTATCAGTGTGGAGTGCAGTCCTAACACTAAATAGGATCAGATCTAATACACTATACACTAATTTAGTAATGTTGTTTACAGTGTAAGGGTGTAACCATGGATACTGAATGATCCACTCAGTGTTTTTTTTCTATCAATATTCAGCTGTTATTTAAAGAACACTCCAATAATAATCTGAAAATTATAACTTGAAATAATCCCTTCCTTTAACGTGCCTCTGGGGACATTCAAAGTTGGTTTAATGTCACTTCACTGGTAAAAACACTATGACGAGTAAAAAGGAGTTAAGATCTTCTCCTTCATGAGAACTTTGGCCTGTCTTACTGTATCTGTGTCTCTTTCTGGTGTGTGTGTGTGTGTGTGTGTGCGTGTGTGTGTGTTTACCTGAAGTATGTTTTCAGGAACGTAAGCCAAAGTTGCATGATTAATTGCTACATCTAATCCCAGAGAGTGGTCTACTTAAACTAATCCATGTTGGTTAAATAAGACACCACAGTCACTGAAACACAAACACAAACAGCTATATTCTCTGCAAGACTGCAGACTGCTGCTGTACATCTAGAGACAGACACTCTGAATGACAATCAAGAAAGAAATAAATAACAACAGGAAGTAAAAAGATGGGTTCTGAACAATAGCAATGGCACCCATTCAAGGGAGCTTAAATAACTACTTTAAAAGGAGCTGTAAGTGATATTTTGTTGTTAAAATAAGTGTTAAATAGCTCTACATTCCGAGAGGCACCACTGATATGCATTAAACAGAGAATACATTTTATGGTATCCCGTTACACTTAAATGGGAATAATAAAGTACATGACTGAGTACATGCCTCACAGAGCTGCTAACATGGCTGTAGAGTTTTTCTGAAAAGTTAAAGGACCAGTGTGTAGGATTTAGTGGCCTCTAGCAGTGGAGTTGCAGGTAACAACTCCCTTGCTTCACCCTCGCCTTCCAAACGTGTGGCTACAATAAATGTGTACGTCGCTGTCTATAGCCAGTGTGTGGTTGGTCTGTTCTGGGCTACTGTAGAAACATGGCAGTTTAATATGGTGGCCTCCGTGTAAGGCAACCCGTGGCATCTGTAGCTATAAAAAGCTCACTCTGAGGTAACAAAAACATGATTCTCATTTTCAAGTAACTAATGAAAACATTGAACAATGAATAATGTATTGCATTTCTTCCAGTAGATCCTCCTCAATGTTACACACTGGACCTTCAAATGAGCCTTCTCCAGAGAACACCAAGAAGTTAATGATGTATTATAATTACAGAGATGATTGACAGGGTAGGTGAGCTGTAACAATGCCAGCACCTACTGTATGTCATTGTTGCTGTAGGGGCTCCTCTGGTGTTTCAGGAGTTTTTGGTGGTGCTCTCTCTGTTTTCAGCTCATATACGTGCCTGCTGCTTGAATGAACAGGAGGCCATTTCAACAGATGTAATTGTGCTCCATGTTTACGGTGTGATAAACTTTCATATGTGTGGTTCTGGAAGAATTGTTTTCAGTACTGTGTGTGTGTGCTCAGGAGAGCACTGCTCCAAGCAAACTGAAGGTATGTCAGACTTTATAGTAAAGTAGGTGGAGGTCACTGAGCATAATGAAACACCACGACTGAAAGAACTGTGAAAAATATAGCTGCTAGGGGCAATCTGGAGTTAATGTGATGTGTGTGTGTGCCGTATAATCGTTGAAGCAGCACTGTATGACATTTGGTACAAATTGGATTTTGTGGAGGGAGCAATGTAATTAAGAGCTGGATCTACTACGAGAAATGCCAATTACATTGAGTTTGCAGACAAATTAACTATACTTATTGGTGGCTAGAGGCATGAACTCTGATACAAACACATATATGAAAGAGAGTCAAATAAGATGGTGTGCTAAAGAAAGGGGAGAAATAAAGAGAGAAATACAGTGGCAGGGCCAAAACTACCACAACTGGACAGACAACAGGAGTTTTTTTTTTTTAAATGGGAAAAATAAAATTTAGCTACATTTTGACGCTTTGGTGAGGTAAAGTGTCTCCACAAAGAGAAACTGACCATGATAATCTTGTTTTTGCTGACATCAGGTGGTTCAGTGGTGTAGAAGTGTACTCCAGGCTGTGTCAGAACACTGTGACATAACTGCTGGGTGTGGCTAAAGGTGAAACAACTCTGACCACACCCAGCAACGAGAAGACAGAAAGATATCCACCACAGAGGGCAGGAAAAGACAGCTTTCAGCCTGCTGTGTTACTCTGAAAATTTGATGCATTTAGTACACGGAAAGTACTTATTTTTAAATCATTAGCAGCAAGACTTTAGAGAATCCAGTTTGATTCCACCCAGATGGTGAATCTAGGACTATTTGCATTAGTACATTTTGCAAAATTGCTGTGTAGGCGGTAAGAGATCGAGCTGCACTCATTACATCCCTACCTGGAATAAAGTTGTTGTTTGGGTTTTTTTTAAAGCCTTTTCATCTAACCTTTGGGTATAATAAACCTATATGAAAACTTAAGCTGATGTTGGTCTGTCAAGTCCTATAAAGAAGGAGAGTAAGAAGACAATACTAACAGTTTAACAGTTGTTTAATTTGTGCACATACATTGTTGTGAGACTACAAAACGTGTGATGCTTTTACCTGTACAACAATGCTTATGATAGATTTGAAGCTTCATAAGAATAGAAAACATGAAAAGCCTGTAAAACCTGCTGCACATAGAGCCTTTGCATTATTCACATTCAGACAACAAATACATTGTATTTATATGCACATTTCAATCCATATGTTGTGTCATATGGATATGTATAACTGGCCTGACATAGTAAGATGTTATATTTTACATGGTAAATAAAAATTGTGAAAATGCTTAACACTGCTGTTGCATTTGTATAGTATGCGGTTCACTGTGAGGTTTACTGCACGTACAGATACGCAAAGTGAACATTATATACCTGCAATTGTATGTAGTTCGTGGTATGTTCTTGCTGTTAACTGTAAAGCACTCATCAAAGGTAACAGTTCAGAGCCTTTGAATGAGGCCATACCTTTCCATTTTAGCTCAAGATTCTTTGGTAAATCTACAGTAAACATTTTATTCCTTCCTTTGTCTCAATAATCAGTCTGGTGTCCGTTATAACTGATCAATTTCAGTTCATATGTACAAAAATACATTTTGGTGGTTTCATGGAAAGTGCCCCACTGACCAAATTTGGATGTTTCAGAAACACTTGTTGTTGGGCCCCTGTTGACCCCCTTTTCACACTTAAAACCTCCCACCCTCTGTGCAGTGTGTATCTACCCTGTTGTCTCCAAGTTCCCATGACAGATCTCATGAAATGAGAACTTAACCCTCCTGGAAAAATTGTACTTCCTGGATAACAGTGCATTTTCAGTGGTGACCCCATGCTGTTAGCTAGTGTTTAAAAGGTCCTGTTATAATAAAGTTATCACACATTTTTCAACAAGCTCATTTTCCTACACCTTTCTGTCCATCCTTTTAAATCAAACTCTCTCCACAGCTAATAACCTATTGGTATTTGCCTTTGCTATCATGATTCAACAGGAAATATATCACATTAAGGAAGTTGTACTATCACTTTGTAGGACCTTTCAGTACAGTGCAACCATTAGACTACACATGGCAACTTCAGTATGTGCAAGACCAGTTACACCAGTAACAGTGAAACTTCATGTCAAAATAAATTAATTCCAATGGAACCACTGTGATTCCTCCAAAATGGAGGAAGCTAACATCATAGCTTATTAGCTGTGTTGCACCATCCACTTTCATTTATGCTAACCCTCTTCTACCAGAGGTTTTAGACAGGAATTGATGATACAAATACATTTCTTGTATTAAGACAATGTTGCTAATGTGACATTGTCCCAGTAGCAACCCAGCTAACAAGCTTGCTAAATTATAGTTAGCATGCTAGCAAACTGGGATGTTACTGTTGATTAAATGATGTATAATCCCGAGAACAAATGCCAAGTGGGAGTAAACAGCTTGCTAATGTGTTAGCCCTTAGCTTACCAACTAGCCCTGCAAGCAGTCACCTCTTTTAACGCTTGTTTTGCAACAATTTTCTGGGAGTCCTTTATGTTGTCTCTGTGTCAGTACTTAAACACCCCTTGAGCGCAATGTAAACAATAAGGTCAACACAGGGCCACAAGACCCAACTTAAGGTTCCCTAACAAATTTGCAATTAATCAAATAACCACAAACCAACTGACACCAAACCAACCTGGGGCTTTTGGGGCACCTGGGGGTCTGGGCTTCAGGCACCTACGCAGTTGATAGTACAGATTTGGAAGAATGCGTTTCTTGATTACTATTTCACTCTTTCCCAGGTGTTTGTCAGTATGCACTCATCCATGTTAGCTGATAACCGTACCAACAAGCTAAAGGGGATCAGAACTCGCTCTCTTCCAGAATCTCCTCCATGGTCTCCCCGAGTGTTATCTCTCCATCACTACTAGACAGGCTTTTCCTGGTGAGAAAGTCAAGCCCTGTTGTGTCAAACCCCTTCAATCCCTGACCTTTAACCTCTCCTAGTCCAAGCCCCCCACCTACTCCATGTACAGCCACCTGAAGCAGGTGCGGGTGCGTTGTGGAGGTGCCGCCCTCGTCGTAGGAGTCGCTCTGCCGAGAGCACCGTGGGCGGTGCCCTCGAGTGCACTTCCACAGGTGCTTGAGGGGAACACCCCGGAAACAGCTCCTGACCTGGAAGTGGTTGGTGAACAGGTAAAGCTGCCAGCGCTTCTTCAATTCAGCTTGGACCTAAATTCCAATATAAAGAAAAATGTCACCAGTTATAGTGTAGTCTGGTGTATTTTTAGCTGCCTGATCAATGAAAGTCTAATATTCTCTTGCCTTTTAGTTCTGTTCTAGAGTCCAGCAACTCCTAAGGCAAATATCTGACTCTGCCAAATGCCACTGTGCTCACCAGCTAATCCCGAATTCTCTCTGTTTCCCATGTGGTGCTGGGCAGATAGTTGGTTTAAATTTTGCCAAAAACAACTGCCTACTGCTCCTGGAAATTAGGTAAATTGGTAATAAGTCCTCTAAAACCAAAACAATGAGCTAAAAGAGGCTAAATAGCTCAGTAGAGCTGAGAGAGTTGGATGATAATTATCTGTGGACTAGCAGCTTCACATTACACATATTGATTGGAATCATTGTTAATATAGATAATATTCATTTGTGCAGCTTTAAAGCAACAAACAAACATAGTATACACAATAATTATATTACAATATATATACATATAACAAAGGTCATATACATAGACAACCTGGTCTGTCTCCCATGGTTTTTTCTCTTTGTCAGTGGTCCTGTGCTTTAATATATGACACTGTAGATATCATCTAGTGTCATTTTTTATGTCAGGCCATCAGAGTATGAAGAGTGAGAATGTCCAAATATGGAGGTGGTGGGGACGATGGGTGGCTCAGACAAACACAGGACTTGAACCTAGGAGGCCACTGCTCATGAAGCAGAGGGCCACTGACCAAGCTGCAGTATTTGACGAGTTGGGAGTAAGAATGTGTTGATACAGAAGAAGAAACCTACCTCTCCGTTTGCGAAACAGTACAGCACAGCAACCAAGAATCCCTGAAAAAGGTTACACGTTACAAATGGTTGTTAATGCTGATTTAGAACAAAAGGACTCCTGTCCGGTATGTAATTAACTTTACTGCTGTACCTGAAACGAGCTGAGGGTGAGGTTGATGAAGTTCCTGGCGTAACGACTGCTGCCCTCCACACATTCATCTATCAGCACAGTGAAAACCACTTCATGGATTCCCAGCAGAGGAATCAGGACCAGTGTTGCTCTGGCCAAGCTGAAGGGAATAAACAAAAACACAAAGTAGTGCATAATTATAGACTGCTAGATTGTAACATTTATATTGGCACATGATTCAAAGAGGGAGGACAAAATAGAGGAGAAAGCAAAGCTTTGTAAATGTATGCATGAGCTTCCCTCCGGTGGTGACATTTATGGTAAAAAGGCCAGAGCTTATGGGGGTGACATTTAAATTTGTGCTGAACATGGGAGTGATTAACATTTAAATGTTAAACCAGAAACCTACTGTACTGTTTAAAGACACCACTTAGGCAATGGCTTTCAAGGTCAAACATGTTTCCTGACATTTGGATTTGGAAGAAAGCAGTTACATTGGTGAGTCGAGGCAGAGGGACAATACCTGTATCTGTAGTCGGTAAATTTCACCTGATCTGCTTTCAGTTTGGACAGCAGCAGCATCAGGATTTTGATGAATATGAAGAAAATTACCTGAAACACACATCCAATGTAGATTTATAGGAAATGCATAAAAAACAACAACTGGTGACTTAGTGGCTGACAAGATGAAATTTACATGAAAACGTGCATCCGAGAATGCTTCTGTCACAGAGAAATTAAAAATCAGTCATGCTTGTGACTCCTACACTATACAACAGCTTCAATGTCACATGCATTCACAAGACAGGAAGCGTTAAACACGGTATGAAATTTACTTGATAGCTGGCACCTAAGGAACAAGACTCACAACAGCAAACATGCATCTGTAACTAACGCGATCATCAGGTTGAATAATTGTGCTGTGGTTCTTGGAAGGGCTTTCACGGATCGGTTGAGAAACATCACTTACCAGCACTGATAAGGTAATCGGGCCCCTTATTATCCACCAGAACCATCTGTTCACAATTGACCAGCATCTTAGGAATAAAAGAAGTTTAAAGGTCAAGCAATAGAGAACATTTAAAATGATTTCATTAAGTATGTGATGAAACACTCACCCTGTGTTTTCAAATAAAATCTTTACCACTGTCCATGGTGTTACAAACAAGACAGGCGTTCCTGTAGATGCAACATGTTACTGTCAACAGATAGTTCTTATCGATTCGTATAAATGAATTGTAAACGTACACATTATATTCATATCATTTATCATATAATCTATGTGTTGTTTTTATCCTCAAAGGGGCTCAAAATGTCATGGTATGCATTGCTAACTTTGCTAGGTAAATGGACTACAACAGGCAGTTACAGGATCAGCTACGGCCGTGGTTTAACACTAAGTGTGTGTGACGACATGTCGGTGACTATGTTCAGTTACATCTGAACTGGAGAGCATCATTGAAAGAAGAGCAAAGAACAGTACAGAAGGCTTTTTTGGATGGAAAAGAGGTTTTTTGCTCTGCTCCTGATGGGCTTTGGTTAGAGCTTGTCTATGTAATATAGTTATCTGATTGGTTGACGTTCACCTGTGATAGATGGTGGTAGACAGATAGCTGTTTCAATCACCCACCAAGCATTTGTTATTGTAACAGTTTCAAATGACAACATCCCAGATGTTTCTGTGTAACAAATAATCTGGCGCAGTCAGGTTAATGCATTGCTGCCTGTCTGCTACATAGTTTTTTTTGATACTACCCCTGGTGGGCACAAAAGTTGGAAAGTTTGACTTTAATTCCACAGAGTTTGTGTCTGCTGGCCATGAAAAGGTATCAAAGCCTCCTAGACCCAATTGTACCCAATATACTGTATACATGAATCTTTAAAACCCTTTTTTTTTTTAGAAGTAATTTTTAAAGAAAGGCTCTGTCATTACCCTAAAACAGCTGGTCACGGTAGTATTTGGCAAACATTACTTAAACAAAGGAAATGTAATTGTTGGAGACTATTTCCTGTAGCTGATTAATCCATATTCGGTGCTCTAGTGAGTATTCCTGGTTGCAGGGCGGTGTATGCAGGATCGAGTCAAAATAATCCACCACCAAACTAATATGTGTGATTGCAGTGACCCATCAACAACTTTAATGAATGTAGAAATATACTACAAAAGCCTGAGTCCCTTAAAAACGGCATCCCTTCATTTTTCCTTCCATGCATGAATAAACGCACAAAACAATCCATTCACACTTTACCCCAGCCTAGCAGCATGTATCTCTTCAGCAGACGTCTCTTGGTCAGCACAGCTGTGAAGAGCAGTGTATGGAGGAAAATGGCCTCCACCAACAACCAGAAGTAGTTGCAGGCCACAAAATATTCCATGCACACTTTGGAGATTTTGCACATCAACGCTATCTGTTGAGAAATATGTTAAATTAGTGTTACAAATACATTGACTGATTCAAACTGCTTTTGTTCCTTCACAGGTACTTTACTGTGTACTCAGGTATCTGCTAATATGTGAATAATAGAGCGGTATTTTCCATACCACAGAGCTTGAGTAGGAGTTCCATCCAGGGTCGTCTTTGGGCAGGTTGGAATACATGATGTATAATATGATTTCCTTAGAAATGACAGCCATGGCTCTCAGAATGAACGACACAAACAGATTCATGTGGATGTAGTTCCTGGTACAGTGGAGCTTCCTGGTAAGCAGATACAGGAGCAATTGATTCCTGTGCAACTGTAAAAGCATTACTGAGGGTATAAATCATGACATACGAGGTAATGAAAAATGATCAAGGTACATGCAACTGCATGGAAATGCTTCCTGGTTTTTATAATGTCATTTGTAATGACTGATCATCCCCATATTCTTGTAAATGTCTTGTTATGCCTCTTCTTCCTAGTAGGCCATCTCCAGTACTGTGAAACCACACATATCATCTGTGGAGTAAAGGCTTGTAAATCTGTCCCATGCCTTATTGATTGTCTATCTGAATGACTAATAGAAGCTGCATCATGACAAGTGAAGGACATTATAGCTTCAGCAATAGCAGCTTTAGTGCAGCGTTCAAGCCTGTTACTCTCCAATTTAAATATCCTCCAATAAAACAGTCTTTAAAACATTAAAAAATAAAAGAAGATAGGTAGAGATGCAGGTAGAGCTTCAATAATTGTAGACTTAGCAATACATTTCTCCACATTTTACAGACTGGAGTTGACCACTAAAAGCACTATGATGCATATTAGGTAATGTTTTTAAGACTGGATGCCTTTTTGGTGAGTATTGCATTCACACCCACGATGACGAACATGCACATCTTTCATGATATTCAACTGATTGACAGTTGGTGGCAGTAAAGAAATGCAGTGAAAAAGCAGGCAGCATGCACTCACACATGGATATAAACAATGCAGGTTTCAAAATCTTCCACAAAAAAAGAAAACGCTCTGCAAATGTTTTATAAGTGATTTCATAATCACTAAACATGTTTATTAGTTCTTAAGGATATAGACAATGCATGTCGTTGAGAGACAATGAAGGTCGACATGACTGTCAACAAAAAACTCCACCGAGTACCTTTAAATTGCCAATATGAATTCAATATTTTTGCTCACAATAATTACAGCAGTAAACCCCTTGAACCCCTTTTAGCTGTTGTTCAATTTTTTTAAAGGACCAGTGTGTAGGAGTTATTCAAAAAGGCCCTGTCTAGAGCCAGTGTTTGGTTTGTCTGTTCTAGGCTACTGTAGGAACCTATGAATATTATATTCCATTTCTGCCAAATTATTCTTATAAATGTTACACACTGGACCTTTAATGTAACACCTAGAAATAAGATTAAAATCATGAGGCTAGATTCCATTTTATTAGAACTTGGATCTTAGATAGTATTATTAAGTGTGTTAAGATCTGGGAAGATGGTGGCATTCAAAAAAACAGAAAGAAAAAAACATTCTAAACATTTAGGGCATGCTCATTTTCAGTTTTTGGGGTTTGTATTGGTGTTTTGATTTCTTTAAGTTAATATCTGGGTATTTGTACTCCAGGCCAGTAGAGAGCAACAACATGGTGGTGACTCTCACAAGTATGCAATATAATGCGTCTGTAGTTGGAGTGTTTGAATGGTGGGAAACACAACAGATTTAGATAATCCATGAACTTTAAGTCAAACTTCACATCCACAACACTTCAAGCCCCCTGCGACCCACCACAAATAATCATCTGCTTCAAGTTAGTGCACAGAAAATTTACCACATGGCCAATTGGCCAATCCTGTCGGGTCACCTGACTGCCCCTATTTGTTGCTCCGTCTGTCATTTTCGCAGATCTCATCAATTACTTTAGTGAGTATAATGTTATCACTACTGATAGGAATGATGGCCAAAGCTTCACATATAAGATCCATTTGTAATAAACCACAATTATCCTTTATCTGCTCTCCACACAAAATGTTCACTTTCATCTGCACGACCGTCAGAAACCCCCTCTACCCCCGGACACTGACCTCAACATGCCCATCAGGAGAGTGGCCAGGGTGAGAGAGGAGAGGGACAGGGAATAGCCAATGACAGAGATGAGCCTGAGGGCTGTCTGGCGATGCAGTTCGTCCTCCTGGACACACACACAAGGAAATAGATGGAGAGAACCTTACTCATTCAGTTTTGTCTAATGAAGAGAGACGTTCTGGGACAGTCAGGAAAACAATCCCTGATGGTTTTTATGGAACGGTTGATGGCAAAGGGTACCAGAGGAACCACAAATCACCAGATACATGCCTTGTTTTCAGTTCCAACAATTAGTGGGAGCAGAAACTATGTATTTAACACTCTCCACCTCCTCCCCCTTCTCACCTTGTCTTTGAAGTAATCATCCTCCTTACATTCTGAGTCATCCCTCCAGGGTTCAGAGGAATTCTCCCTCTGTCGCCATCTCCCATTTTCTAAGCATTCTCGGTGCACCCTCCTGGAGACGTCTGCAGGTAGTTGAAAGATGATATTCATAGTTATGTCTCTCAATACAGTCAGAGACCAAGTGGGTAGTTGATACTGTTAACCTTTTAATTAATTTCTTTAATTATTATATACTCATATTAATCATTCAATAATTAGCCAGTCACCATTTGGAAGTGTCTTTATACAACCAAGCTAGCAGCTAAAGTACTGAGTGCACCCTCTTTAACCAAACATATTGGTTATGATTTCTTCATATTTGGAGTTCCTATATGATGCAATGCCCCTGCAACTCTCCTTTAGCGATGGGGGGAAATGAATGAACCAATCTTTTTAGTATCCAGTATGTACTGGGTCAGTCTGTTAAATCCCAGACTTTTCCTACTGATACTTCCCACGCCCACTCACTGTTATCGAGTGATACTGCTCCTGCTGTCTGCTATAACAGAAAGCGGGACAACCAATGAATGAGCAGGAGTCATGTCTCAAACGAGGACGTCTGGCAGCCTCCCTTACTCACACTGAATGGAATCGGATGAACCGAAAGTCTGCTACTTGCCTAAGAAGAATGACAAATCGATGCAGTCAAATCAAATTTCTGTAACATTGTGTGTTGGGCTTACATAGTTTACCTACATACAAGTGGTATGCTGAATGAATGCATTAAAATGAATCTTTATCTTTATTAATGTAAACCTATACATGATGACTGGTAATGCATTTGAAGAGTTTTGTGGGGCAGTCGGCGCTACCTGTCGAACATACCTTTTGTGTCATGAAAAACTGAAGCCATATTTTTCAAAAAGTTTCAAAACTCGTAAGGTTCAATATTTACATGTATCAACTCAAAAGGAACTGACTGTGCGAAAATAATCACTACAAACAGGTGTAATTGGTTGGTTAACCTATTGAATCACTCTCACACTCACATGGAATTACATGGCAGGGAATTGTCTGGATGCTTAAGAAAGATAATATTTAATTTGCCATGCAAAGTCAAGGGTACAGGAGGATTAACAAATTCATGTAAATCCATTAGTTGTTGAGACATTTCACTTAAAACATTAAATGTCAACCTCTTGGTGGCGCTACATGAAAAGTTAGGAGATCACGAAGTCATTATCATCTAGGAACCACAAACTTTCATAGAAATCCATCCAATAGTTGAGATATTTCAGCCTGGACCAAAGCTGTGCACCAACCAACCCACTGACATTGTCATCCCTAAAGCCTAGCGTGGCTAAAAACTAATCAGAGATGGCCGATTAGATTGAGTTCTTCTTATTGTAGTTGGCATGGCCAATGGCAGACTACTGCTACATATTTGAAGCATGACTGTGCAATTAAATGTTTAAGCATTTAACTGTTAAATTCTTGATCCTGTGACAAGCTCGCACAGCAGTCTATCCTGTGATTCACTCAGTGATCCATTCACTCGAAATGAATGAATTGACAAAGAAAGTCTGAATAGGAAAAGGGCCATGCATGTAACATCATTAAAGCTATACAATGACATTTATTTTTACTTTATGACCTAATACATGAGTTGTTTTTGAAGTGCAGTGGTAAAACACAGCATTACCCTCTTTGATCCATGGTAAATAAGAAGGACAGGGGACCGACACATTCCCAGGAGATGAATGGGGCCAACACACAAATGTGTCAAACGTTCCTTTACAGTAGATTCCTGTAAAACAAAGATAATCAGGATTTCACGAAGGCAGTAACAATCATGATAATTAACATAAGAACACTTGACAGGAGGCTCACCAGTTTCTAAGAGTGCGCTGAGAGTTCTGTTGCATTTCTCCCAGTATTCGGTCCGTTTAGCTATCAGAGTTTCAAGCTCTGAGCCTGATACCTGCATGTTGATTTCAAAAGTGAGAGAAAAGTTGTTAATATTAAGTTACATTGAAGAGAATGCTAGCAGTAAAGTGTAGATTATGATTGAGTTCATCCTACAAAATAGTGATAATTGAATTAATCATTTCATTTCCATTCCTCCCCAAAGATGTATATGTAGCACTTTAGAATACTGATCCCAACACCGTAAAAACACAAAATCGAATCATTCAAGGTCACTAACACTGCGCACAGTTGACAAACGGTACATATAATTTGACAGTATGTTTAACAACAAGATTAGCTAGCTATCAGTCACTGTCACTGTCCACAAATCAGTATCAAGAGTTTCATGAAGGAAAGAGCATGTGCACTGACAGCCGCATCCTGAAGTAGCGAGCTGAGTAGCGGACGGGATGTGGGAGGATCAATTAAACAAAATATCAGTAAATTCAAAGGGGCAGTGTTACAGTTGTCATATTCTGGTGTTCGGAGGATGAGTCACTGAAGTACTGGACTCACTGTAGTGAAATATATTCATGAGATATTTAGCTAGATTTTGTTTTCATTCAGTTCATTAAAGTGCATTAACTTATAACGGTAAACAGACAGTTTCACTGGAACTACTTGGTAGGTGTCCCACATCAGGTATTAATAGACACCCAGCAGCCATTCAGAATTGAGTATTCATCCAGACCTTCTTATAATGAGAGTAGTAAGACAGTTAAACTGTGGTTTATAAAACCAAATCAATGAGCTGAAAGATGCTAAAACCCTGCATAGAGGAAACTGCAGAGTTGTGTGATAATTCTCTGTGGATTCATCACTAAAAGCAACTCCTTTCACATTACACTTTGATTTGATTTGTTATAAATATGAAAATATTGAATAGAGCAGCTTTAATATCTTGAGTTAACTGAATTAGTAGTGACTTCAATTTGTTCATCAGTGTTAATCTTTACTGAACTTAAGAAATTAGGTTTAATCAGTGACAGTTGATATATTGTCCAGAATTTCTAATTAGGCTCAGCCTTAATCATTACATCATTTGCAATTCATGGCAGAAGTGCCTTGGAAATAAAGAGTAAAGACAGGGGGTACCTATCTTTTCAAAGGTTTGCATTGGTTTTAGTAATTTGAGACACATAAAAAGACATGGGAAAAGCCTCTATCTAAAGAAAGGGTAGCCAAGCATACTGGGAGGTATTCCAGCATATCATTTGATGTCTTAAGTGAATTATCAGTTGGACATTCGGCCTAGTCTTTTTATTTATATGTAGGCATGAACACATTTTTGGAACTTTTTTAAAGGAGGTTTACACATGACCACTAAGGTGGACAGTGTTTGAGTTGTAACAGTATTTAAAAGGATGATAATAAAATGATATATTATGTAAAAAAAAACCTTTAAAATAATATATGTGTTCACATATTTAATTGTTCAATACAATGCATTTTTCACAACATTTTGAATATATATGTGTATATATTGTTTTTATATGTTTATTTAAATATAAAGACGCTTACTGTAACTCACATGGAACTAATACACAAAATATTATTTTTGTTAAAAAAAAACTGCAAGTCACATTCTAATAACATAAATCAGCTGATTTACAGCAAATAAAAGTTAGTGCAGATGAAACATTTTCAATAACAACAAAGTTACAGTAATAATAGTAACTGTAATTGAAATGCGATGCATGATGTTCAATCACAAATGATTAATATATAATCAATACTTTTTAACTTCTACTTTTATTTTAACAATGTAATTAGTGTCCTACTAATAGAAAGATTGGCAAAATATTTCTGATCTCATCTTGGTTTTGAGAAATGTTTGTGGCACTTACAATGGCTGTTCAGTGGGTGGCAGCTCACTAATAGACACTGATGTCTACTGTGGTGACTGATGTGCAACTATACCATGCGTATACAAGAAAACAGCTTTTGAATAGCTGTCTGCTGTAATTACCACTATGCGTGAAGGGGTTAAGTTACAATACTGAACTCATGATTATAACATCTTAATGTAATAACCACACAATTTATGACTTGAAAATGATAATTGTATCAATATCAAATTGATTTAACGATCCACACTGAGAAGATTTAATTAAATGAATTAGATTTTACAGTGTGTTTGATCATTTCAGTGTATCTGCAGCTGAATAGATGTGGGTGAGTAGGATACTGCAGTATTCATTGTTACCCACTTGGTGGGAGTATTTCATAAGGACCACTTTCACTGACCAAGGGGACATTTTCACCTGTGTAATCTGTAATTGATAGAGGTAATTTATCAATCTGGCCTCCTGCATTGGTGTCATGCCTGCAGCAACACAAACACACCTCTTTATTTATTCTCAAATGATAGGAGCAGTCTGTGGGTGCGTCATTGTATCTGACAACTATCATATTAATTAATGCTCAGTCAGGAATTATGATTCCTTCCTCAGTTTGCTGTCAATAATGAGACAAACTGGCATTTCCTTTATTTGAAAAGCAAACTGCAGACCACAGCTGCTACCTCTGACATTAAACATTCAGTGCCAGGGACGAGGACAGTAGTTTTCCTATCTCGGCCAAACAGCCCCAATCTTCACACCCCGGTGAGGATGCAGCTGAACTCTGCAACCCCTTTGTGTCTGTCTGGGCTGCCTGGTGGCTCACCCGCCACCTGTGCCACAAAGATTTCTCATGTGAGCCGGCTGGCAGAGGACGTTTCAATCCAGTGAGTCTCGTCTTGTCAAGACCCTGTCCAGATCGGTATCTCCACTGAAAGAAAGACAAGAGCTGCTGTCTCCCCATCCTCTCTGTTGCCTCCCACGAGACTGAACCAAATCCTGTTTCAAATCCAGCCGCAGACTCAACTCCCCTGATGATTCAATGTCTTATAATGTTGAATATGAAAGTGTATTTGCACAAAACTTATAAGTACTCTGTGATCCTATTTGTCTTATATTTGAAGTGTTTCTGTGTCTTTTTTCTTTGGAATCCCGAGAGAAAAACACCCCTCTCATTTGATTTCCAAAACAGATACCAAGTTACTTTCTCAAGCATGTCACTACAGTGCTATTTCTAGGCAGTGATTTCAGTAGCAGATACTGCAGAACATGCCTATGAGCACTGAGACCTCCTGTAGCCCAAACTCCATATGAAAAAAGACTAATTTAAGATAAAAAAGAATCGACTACACTCTGTATTTTTATATTCCTTTCACAGTCCTCTGTAAGCAGGATCTTTGCTGTATTTCATGAGAAATGCGGCATGTTATATTGCCTCATACAGTAAATAAGATTGAGAATTCTTTTGTGGAGCCAAGTTCTGTTGATAAAACTATTAAATTAAAAGTAAATTTAAAGAAAAGATTTAGGGGCTTTTGACCATGTGGCACCTGTGTCAGACAGCACCAGGTTGGTGACTCGCTGTAAGACTTGAATGTAAGTTAATTGAAAGGCCTGATGTGTGTGCGCATGCATGTTAAGTGTTCATTTACCTGGTGGTTGAAGATAACAAAGACGAGCGAGAGCAGGAACGTGTGTCCTGCTGTGGTCCCGGTCCTCTTGTGCCAGGTTGGCAGTGGGGTTGGCATGGTGCTGTGTGTTTACATTGAAAGTAGCTGGTTTCTGGTTTCTCAGCTGGTTTTCCACCTCATACCTCACCCCTGCACTCGCAAGGCCCCTAACTCATCCTCCTTTTATCTCCCTGTACGTCCACTCAGCACGCCTCTCCTTGCCTTGCCACAGCAGGTGTAGTTTATCTGAAGCTGATCTCCTCGCAAGTAGCTCCAGAAGGGTTTATTCAGAATTTGTTTGATGAATTCGGAGGACGATTTGCAAGGACAGAGAGTGCACTTCTCGCCGTAGCCGTTATCCCACAGTTTCCCTAAATTTCCTCAGAATCTGCTTGATCTTTTCCAACATTTTTCCAAAGAATCCATGCTCTTTTATGGCTCTTTTAAGGAACTGATCTTTAACTTGTCAGAAAAGTTACCTTCTAATGATTTCATTCAGAAGGTTATCCTAGGTGAAGAAGTCCTTGGCTGCAGTTCCAGTCTTCCTGTCCATGAAGACCTCTCAGGCTGTGACGGAGGTAGATCTGCCTGTACTCCCTATAGACGCAGCACAACTGAGAGCGCCTGTGGATCATCACTGACAGATTGCCTCTCCCACCCCGTCCTCCCCTAACCAATCAAGATAAGGCGTGGGGAGAGCCGGCTACATAACTGAACTAACTTTGTTGTCCAGGAAAACTGATCACACAAGAGCAAATGGGAACAGTGGAACCAGCTAGGTCTAATGTATGAGAACATACACACACATAGATTAAAAATCATAATGCATACGTTACACACACCGGCAAATATCACCTGTGCTGTAGACAGAGAGGGGAGGCACTGAGCTCTGCCTTCTGTTTAGCTATCTCACACAGTAACTGGGCATCACCCAGGATTTCTGACACTAATGGGGATCTAGTGTAAACTAACGGCACTGAAACCAAACACAGGCGAGCAAATGGGAGAGCAGGCAGCCAATGTTGCCTGCACAAGCCACGCGCCCTGCTGTTGTCTCACTTCATGTTCCAGGCATAGTTCTTTCAGATGTTAGCAAGGAATGGAAGTGTGGAAAGGTTTTTTTTGAAATAAAGAAATAAATTACAAATGGACATACAATTTATTTTATGGCCATGATTAAATTAATAACATTTATTGTTTTCTTTACTTTTGTTATTTAAGCTGCATGGTTTGTTGGGGGGTAGTTAACAGTGGAACAAGCTAAAAAAACAACATCTGACATATTATGTTAGGCTACCTTGTAAAGTTGCTAACATACTAGCAAACAATTCCCCATCTACACGTCCAGCTGACACAGAGACATTAGAATTCATTTCTAGTCCTGTTTCTTGACTCCTGCTGTGTGTAAGTCCAACATTCACTGCATTTTAGCTCTGTTTCACAAAACACATATGGCTCGGCTGCCCGGTTAGCTCAGTGGGTAGAGCTGAGTCCTTGCTGCAGCAGCCCCGGGGTTCGAATCCGACCTGTGGCCCTTTGCTGCGCGTCATCCCCTCTCTCTCTGCCCCCCTTTCCTGTCCGAACCGAAAAAAAAACAAAACAAACAAAACAAAAAAAACATATATGGCTCCTTTGCTCTATAATAGCTCTGCCATTGCACTGGGCAGGTATTGTACAGTTTTTTTTTAACTAACCATGTGAAACCGGATAGATGAGAGTTAAGTGTGCTAGCTGGAAAACTAGCAAGCCAGGGTTTGCTAGATGGAAAACCAAAAGCTGAGCTAAAAGAGACTTAACTTCTTCATAGAGCTTCAGAGGTGATTATTATTTATAGTATCATCATTACTAGCAAAATACTTAACATTACAGTTAGTCATTTCATACAATGTTGATATAAAAATATTGCAGCTTTAAGTCACAGAACAGAGTTGTGTATAAGGAAAAAAACTAATGGTCTAGCAGTAAAAAGCAAATAGCAGCTCTTCACTGTATAAAGAATCTTGAATATCACTTTAAATCCCTATTATTGCCAATGAAATAAGGGAAAAGGCAAAAATCATTGGAAGACAAAGTAACATGCAATATGAAGAAGCAGTTGAAATGAAGAGACATACTTAGGCTATCTGTTTAGAACCGAAGGAGCAAACCTCAGTCATGCATCATGTGTAACTGTAATTGTGTTTTTATTACATGGCGATATCGCTTTCAAATGTCCCAGTGGTATGGATGTGACAGAATCCATTGCAGAGAAAATACGTAGAATATTATTGTGTTTCAGGACCTCATAATGCACCAACCAAGCCATTATCTGTGACTGTGATGTATACGAAAGAAGCGGTGAAAGCGGTGATTTTTTTTTCCTGCTCCATAAGCATGACAATATACAGCAGTGACAGTAAAAATGAGTTTTAGGAGCAGAGGGAAAAATACATTCATCAAAAAAAGTTCATTGTAATTTGAAAAGATTTAAATGGCAGTAAAGCGGTTTGAAGCAGGCATGGCCTCAGGGTGCGAGTATGGTGGGATTCTCATTTAAAACTGGATTCCGCTGCATGTGAAGAGGCTGAAGAGGTTGTCGAGGAGGTTATGTGAAAATTCAAGTGTACCCATTTGAAACCTACATAATGGTTTTGATGGTTGAAACCTCTCCCAAGGTCTATGTTCTGTTAGGAAAGGTTATATTAATCAGACCTTAATTAGTTGTAAACCCAAGAGTTTACATCTTATAGCAGATTGGAAGACCAAGCAATGACTCATCATCTTTAAAGCTGCAGTAATCAGTATTTTAATATTCAACAAATGACTGTGTAATGTGAAAGGGGTCACTCGTGATAAACCCACAGAGAAACTGCACCCAAATCTGCAGTCCCCTTCAGCTCTACGAAGCGTTTTAGTATCTTTCAGCTCATTGTTTTGGTGTTACTGCTCACAACTTTAATGTTTTGGTTCAGTCTACTTTATACTTCCTGATCCGCACCAAATGACAGACAAACTTACCAACTAGCTAGTAGTGAAGACACAATACCAGAAATTTTGTAGTTGATGCTAATACAATGTAAAAATGTCCCAAACAAGTTTGCCCCCGATCCTCATTTAATAACTGATACAAAGTCCTGATCCAGTACTTGTATTTTCCTAGATAATGGAGGTGAATAGCCCTGTATTGCATTAAGAGAAATATTTCTATAGCTACTGCTATATTAATATTTCTTTATGCTTTACTAAATAACAAAGTAAGCTATAAAATAGCGTAACAAACAAATCTTTTTTCGTTAGTTTCTCTCAGGCCACTCAAATCGCATTAGTTTATGGCCTGGGCCCGAATTTTGCAAAATGCCTCTGAAAACCCATTGCCAATATACAATACAAGATTTGGATATGTTATACTGTATATTAGTATAAAATATATTTTATACTAATACACAAAATAATATAGGGTAATAATTCCATTTTATTAATTTTTTTTTTCCCCCTCAAATTTCCTGAGGCCCCCCCAGCCCCCACTTTGAAGAACACTGGATCAGACAATGACACAGCTCTTTACTTATACTCATCAAAGCACCCATAAATAAAATGTAACTACTGTCTCATAAAGGCTGACCTAATCAGTGACAGGGTAGTAAAAAGGGCAGCTGGTTTGGCAAGATGCCCTGGACAAAGTGTTTTGTCATTACAAAAGAATGAGGAGCAGGATCAATAACTGTCTTATTTAATTTTTAACCAGCTGCATAGTTGATTTCCACTCAAGTTAAACTGTACTGCTCATGCTCTGTGGAAGAGCCTGTGTATTTTCACACATTAGTATCTCCCCTAAGGAGGTTATGTTTCCGGTACTGTTTGTGTATTGTTTGTTTGTTTGTTTGTTTGTTTGTCAGCAGGATTACGAAAAAACTACTGGCCCAATTTTCATCAAACTTGGTCGAAGGGTATCACATCTTCCATGGAAGAACCCAATTTTTTAGCAGATCTGAATCACAGGGCGGGTATACAAATTATTTTCCGCTGTCCTATGGCAAAATAAACTAAATTCTTTGTACATGCAGAAACCTGTTGTCAAGTAAATGGTGTGATAAAACTAAACCAAATATAACAACCACCTCAAACATCACTGTACTTTAGAAAACAAATGCAACAGGTGCTGTATGCAAAAAATAAGGATCAGGATATCCAGATTCAATCTAAATTCAGGATTTTCCTGTCCGAACCCATCATAATTAAAATGAATGGTGAGGAGATTTGCATCATAGAAGACTAGACTATTGGCCTTGGCATAGACACTCTATGTCCTCTAGTGCCTTAAGACTGCAATAACTTCTATTTGTCACATTAAAAACATACTGACGGGGCTCCCTGGTAGCTCACCTGGTAGAGCTGGCACTCCATGTACCAAGGCTGAGTCCTTGCTGCAGTGGCCATGGGCTTGAGTCCCACCTGTGGCCCCTTGCTGCGTGTCATCCTCTCTGTCTCTCCCCTTTTCCTGTCCATCAGTTGCTCTGGCAAATAAAGGAAACAAAAGACCCTAAAAATATATAAAAACAAAAACATACTGTCAGAATTCACAGTAGCAGAATTATGAGTTACATGAAGTTTAGACTGTGTGGTCTCATTTCTGCTAATCCACAGAGATAGCAAAGCTTGGATTCACCTTATAAATGATAAATGTGCATACATTAATTGTACACTTGACCTGTATCACATCAAGATTTTGAACCACTAGAGAGGCACAAGCATGGAGTCTAATCCCACACAGTATTAACAGTAGTTAATTCTCAAGCGTTTTGCCATGATATCTGGGTTAAGATGTAAATACGATTGTTACAAGAGATAAACACACGAGCCAGACAGCGAACAAAACGAAAGCTCGGGACTAAAGTCAAGTTTCCTTTTATGTCCTCCATGTAGGGAGAGGAGCATAGGACTGAATTTTTGTGTAAGTATTTCGTCCATATGACTCGTATTTTGTCAGACTCTTATTGCATTCCAGGCTGTAGGAGAAGGGATATTTTGTCGATAGTGCAAAGTGCGATGATTTTTGTTTGCGTCTGGGGTATTGGATTTCTGTTAAGCAGTGAGGTGACTCATAATGTGTAAAGATTCTGTTCTTGTCTCATTTAATTCAGACAAAATTCTTTAACTTTAACAGCAAAAAATGGAAGTGTGGGAAGGTGTTCTAATTAATCGAATGATAAAATAAATCAATTATAAATGAACAAAGAGTTTGTTTTTGTTTCATTCTTTTGCTAGATATTGAAGCTGCATCAATATATGTTTTGGCCACGCACGTGTCTCGAACTGGACGGGCAGGTT